GGTAGGGGCGTGGCCGCATTTACCCTAGGTAAAATCAATGATGAATCCGGCCCCTGATTACACCTATTTCACAGAAACTAGATGCTGTACGGAACTTGTTTTTGATAGTAGGTAAGCGAAGGTAATACTTTGAGGCTTGCTTACCATGCTATAGCCGTTAAAATCTCAGATTGTGTCAAAGTTTTCAAAACCTTGGTAAAAATTATCCAAATGTGTTTTTGACTACTATGCCTTAAGTGGCAACCTTTACATTTCGCACTATATGCAGGCTGGCTATATTCCACTCAGTCACAAGAGGAGGCTAATGGGCACAAAATGTTGTTCATTTTGCGTCATCTGAACTCACCTTTACCAAATTTCTTATGTTTCGCGAAACTTCTTAAGGTCTGCCCTCCAACCGTTTTAAATTGTCGAACTCTTGTAAAAACCGTCTCCGATTTGGATAGCGACTGCTTCTTTACAATATTGACCAACACTGGAAACCTTCAAAAAAACCGCATTTATTCTGTTGCAGTTAATCTTTGGAGAAACAACTTACCTCAAGATGAAAAATTCAGGAAGATTTGTGAAGAACGGTGTGGCTTGGACATATCGAAGATGTTCACCAACATCACCAAGAGATTCTGAGGGAAGCGAAAGGCAGAGGAAGCTTTGGCCATATCTAATACCAGTCGATGGATAGGTGTATGTACCTGGGTTAAGATATCAACAAATGGGCAAAATTGCAACACTGTAACTTCGAAGATTATTAAACTGCATTTCATATGTACCTACTGCTGGGAAGTTTGGTACACTATGAATAATCCAAAATCCACTTTCCTGATCGAACACTACAACACCTTTGCTATGCCCTCGATATGAATCAACACTCCCTGACGGACTATCATCATTGTATGCAAAAACGAAATGTTCCTACACGAAAAGCAATTAATTTACGATAACAAAGCAATAGCTTAAAACCTACCTGATCATGTCTGTAGAAGTCTTTGAGAGTAGCACCTACAGCGCTCTGATCGCTTTCAATACTAAAGGGAGCCAAGGTCCAGTTACGGTGATTTGGATCCATATAATAAAATCGAATAGGAGATTTAGATGCTGGAGGTTTGTAGACTATGTACCTAAAATTGACTAAGAAAGCTAAATATTTTATCTTTCATTGAAATAAATGCTCAAATAGACCAACCAGTCTACAGGTTCATCAGCTAGACCACGACAAGTAATCTTTGCGTTAGCACATCCTAAAAGCAGCAGCAGGGAAATTTGCAGCATCTAGTACCAAAGCCTGGAAAAATAGGGTTCAGCAGATTTGAGAACTCGTAGG